CTTAAATTAATTTTACCTACTTACTTATATACAGAAATATTTTTAAAAAATATTTTAAACTGTTTTATAGATTAAAAAAATTCAGTTTTGAAATTTAAATTCGAATCAAATTCACTTATGTTCATAAATTGTAATTTTTAATTATAAAGTCAATAAATAGTTGTATTTACTTTAAGTGTTTCTAAGGTATTGAGGTACTTTTTTATCTATTAGGGCACACAACAATAAACTATTAATTTGTTAGTAATATTATAATTGTATATGTATACAACAATATATTATAAATTATTAATATATTTCCATGCCATCAATATTTTATATAAAGGATACTCAAGTTTAGTCCAATAGGTGAAGCTGAATCAGTATGATATAAAAAACGTGAACCATAATAAGATTGTCCAAATGATTTATCAATTTTTCGTCTAAGCTCAATCTAAAACATATTTTATTGATAAATAAGTAAAAAAATGTTTAAATATTTAAGTTTATAATATATTAATAAACTTACTGGCAAATCAGAAAAATAAATATTAAATTTTAGCAAATTGTTGGACAGCAAATTATAACATAATTTAAAAACATGGCCACTACTAGATAAAAAATGATACACGCTATCAGGTTCTCGACAAATGTATTTTTGTTCATCAGATATCTGTAATGATAAAAAAAATTATATATATATATATATACATATAAATTATTATTGAGATATCTTTTAAGTCACAATAGCAAAATATTATCAACCTAAAGACTTAACTATGATAATATGTTTATTTTAATTGCTGAAGAGAAGTTTTACTGCATAATATAATAAGTACTATTATTATAATTTTGTTTACTGAACACTACATTTTTAACTTGCCAAGAACAATAATTATTATTGTTTAAATAAAAGATATAAAATTATAAACTACTATAACAAGCTTTTTGATAAAAAAATGCATGTTAGATTTAAATTGAAATATGCGGAATGTCTGCGTACAACCTCTATACAAATGTTGTAATATATTTGTTTACTTCCTCAAATATATTTATTCAAAAAAATAAAATAAACATATAGATCTGTATGAAACTATAACCACTAAAAGAAATGCTACTTATATAGCTAGGTAGTTGATAAACAATTATATGAGTAAATTATGTAGTTTTTCCTCAGAAAAAGAATATTATTCAGGTAGGTACATTGAAATATGGTAGTATACTTTGACAAAATAATAACTATTACATTTAGGCCAAAATTATTATTATTTGTTAAAAAGATATTAAACAGACATTTATAGTCCCCAACTTATAAGTGTATAACATAACAAATTTTTAAAAGCATTTATTATATTTTAATTTTAAAGCAACTTATGAGTATTTTAGGATGTACAAAATATTTACAATTTTAAAATACTCATAACTCACTTTATATTAAAATATAATAAAAAGCCCAAAAAGATGCCTATATAATGATCTTACTTTTAAATTTTATAAAAGATCAATTCACTCTACATTTTTAACTACGGAACTTATGTTACGAACAGGAACAATAAATATCTGTGTAATGTCCTCCTAAGGTTCAATAGCAACCGAATTAATAATACATATTATCTGGAATGCTTTCAATAAAATGTGTTAACAAAAGTTWAAAAAAATAAATTACATACTTTTGTCTTGAGCTTATCTAATGCCCATCCTTTATCGGAGCCACGTCCAAAAATTTCAAATATTATATCGACAAAGATATTATACAAATCTCTTTCACTTGCATCGTCGATGTAGCTTGTAATTACTCTGATCCGCTCAATCAGTGAATTAGTGGTATGGATTGGGTCTACTGATGCCAACAGTGTTGAAGACAGCGCTGTGAAATAGATATAAATATTAGAAATACGTTTTTCAAGAGAACGATTTACAATTCTCTTACTAGTATTGGTCACCGGTGGGTAACAAAATAGCGGAGAATGCATGACGTTTAAAACTGCAGTTTAATGACGAAACACATTCGGGTTGTACGAGTTGTGGAATCGGTTTCGTACTCACACAACACAACTAGCTGTCATCAAAGATATAGCTCGCAAATAATTTATATAATTATTATTGATGATTGTGGTGGACAAGCTGATGATCAACGATTCTAATCGAAAGGCGTTACGCGATTAACACACAATAGAGCAACACTCTTAGATTTTATTTTGGAAGCCGTTGTCTCTGCTTTATCAGCGCAACGCCACTATCACTTATCACATATTAACAGTCGGACAATCACACGGATAATAGATATCTATTATCCGTGGGACAATCATAGGTGATAATAAAGATATTTTTATTCAAGATCTATAAAGAATCTATATAATATAAAATTATAAAATATAATTATATTATAATATAAAATATCTATATAATCTATATCTTCTTTATAGATCTTGATTTTTATTAAGAGGACAGCATCATTTTCGTGATAAAGCCACAGAATAGATTATAACCATGAAGTTGTGAACAATACAATTACAACTCGGCATTCGTATCACCACAGAACAATATCACTCGTATCTTCTCTACATCGTGGATTATAAACATAAATTATTATTATATATTATTAAAAAGTTATAAATTGAACCACAAATTTAGATATTATCATGATAATTTGACATGTTCAATCATGACATGTTTATTTTATCATGGATATTATAATACCTATATTAGGTGAGCAAGTTGTAAATAGAGCAGTAAAGTTGTGAAGGAGCCTAGTCCGTGGAAACATAACATTATGCACAGTTTTCCAAACATACAAATTATTGGCGGCAAGATAATCATTATTGTTGTCATCAGAGATTATGAATTATGAATTATGATATAGTGATATACCTACATAATAATTTATATTTTTATAACGTAGTTTTACAATTTTCATACCAACTACTTTAACTCCACTGAGCTAGTCTCCTGTGATACTTTTTTTATGAGCTATTTTTATATACTTTGATACATTTATTTAGTATTTATCATCAGACATAATAATATAATATTCACAAAACTAAAGTATTTAATACAATGTTGTAACTTGTCTTTCGAATGGTTCACTCAATAAAAATTATAGTGCAAGTAAAAGACATTTGAGAACCTGAAATGAATTTTAAAAGAGCATAGTAAATCAGTATCAATAATATTAATTATTATAATYATAATGTAAAATAATAACTTATTAAACTTAAATTTCCAAGTTCGTTTGGTTATAATAATTATAATTATTCAGTTATTAAACTGAATAAGTTTTAATGATAAACTTTTCAATAACTAATAAAATATAAATAAAAACAAGTGAAAAACTAAAAAACATGATTTTATTGAAAATTTGTATAGAAAAAAATGTATAYCTAACATTAAGCCATAGAATTTACCAAATCTGTACTAAATACTTAATAATTACTATATACAGGAAGTTATCTATAGACAGTCCTGTAAAGTATTTGAGAAAAAGTATTCAAATACTTTTTTAAGTATTGAATAACTTTTTTAATACTTTCAGCATGAAGTATTTTGAATGGTATTTTAAATACTTTTTTAAGTACTTTTGTATTAAGTACTTGTTTGTATTGAATACTTTGGTTTTTTATTTCGAACATTATATTTTTTATTTTTTCATTAAATTCAATAATCCCGCTGCCAAGCAGTGCTTCAGTGGAGCGGGTATTTAGTGTGGGTGGAGCAGCCATGRCCAAAAAGAGAAGCAGTATGACCGACAGTGGCGTGCCCAGGAAATTTCAATGGGGAGGGATATATGTTATAAATTTTTAAGTAACTAAAAGTAGGTACATTTAAATTAATCATGGTTATCCAAACACAAAAATTGCTAAACATATGTACATTCGTGCATATTGAGTGTCATTCTACAATTAGAATTAATTTAAATAGCCACACACTATACACTATTGTTTAAATAAAATGGCAAAATTAAACTAAAAACATTTTTAACCTTTATTAAAATAATTAATATACAAAAGAAAAATAATTCTTAAAAACAACTTAGTTATTCGTTATTCCAAACGAAAATTTATATTTATACTTTTAGTCTACGTGATAAGCATGATCCATCATTCTATCTTATATCTTACCATAAACA